CGGCGGGCTGCAGCCCAGGTAGGACGCCCCGCGCGGCCCGGCGGCCGGCTGCGACTCGATGCCCCGCAGCCCGGAAGCCGTTTTCTCCCCGCGGGGACGCGCCCCGCCGGCCTCCCCTGCCCGCGCCTTCCCTGCACTTGGCAGGCCCTGCGTCGCGGGCGACTTTTAGATCTTCCCGCGGTGGAAACAGCCACCCCATGTGGCTCCAGGCCCGGGAGCCCGCGGCAGAGAAGCAGGGTGGAGGAGTGTGCGTGTCTGAGGGACAGGCCAGGTGCTTCGCGCAGGCTGGAGGAGGATTTCCGCCTTCTCCCCTTTAGTATTCATCCGGTCCGAGCGTATAAAATCATCTGGCTCCAGGACAGAGCCTGCTTCCAGCTAATCTAGCTAGTGTCTCCGGGGTGCCACACGACCCACTGGGGGAAACGAGTCTGCTCTGGCAGCCGGGCCGCTCCTGGTGGGCTTTCGGGGGGCTCTGGGGCAGGGCACTCCCTCAAGCGTGCATCTGTCGCCTCGCTGAGTCACTCCCCAGCAGCCCACAGCACATTTTAAAACTTGGCTTAACTTCCTTTTTTTCCCTTTTTGTCTTGAGTAAACTATTTCTACATGTGTGCTGAAGGAAACTATCTCTGCCTTTGCAGAATGTTACGGGCAGGGGTAACGTACTGCCTCCGATTGCACAGTGCATCCGAAAATCAAGTGTGTCCAGTACTGACTTATCCGGCAGTTGAGACTGAGGATCATGATCTCTTCCCAAAAGTATAAACCAGTCTCTCAAGTTCTTCACCTAGCTGACCGAGCTCTTGGAGTGCATGTAAAATCATCTCGCTACAGGCCACTGTCTGCCTCCAGTTTATTTCGTGTGTTTCCCCGAGGTCCACATGACCCCCTACGAGGAAAAGGAAACGTGTGCGACCCCGCAGGCGGCTCCTTATGAACTCTCAGGGGACGCACGTCAACTCTCAGGGGCTATTGGCATCCATCCCCCCCAAATAGTTGATGCTGTCTTTGCAGTTATTGCTTTTACCCTTGATAAGCAGCAAGAATAGAATTTTATGGAGCTGAAAGTGGATTTTCAAAAAGAACAGTATTTTGTCTTAATCAAATACATCCACTTGAGCAGATACTTTTTACAGTATGATGGGTCCCTTCCATTTCAAATGTGTTGAGGGGAGGTGTTGACCCGAGGAGACTCATTGGGAGATTTCTTTTGCTCATGTTGACTAGTACAGGAAAGGACATGTGGATCGGGATGAACCGCTAATTATAAAAGTAGCGATTAATGACATTTTCCTGGTTTTTATAGGTATTGGAAGAATGTTTATCTTTTCATCTATTATTTAATCCAGTTCTGTGGCCACTCTTGGATATTTACGAACATGACAGTCAGATTCTTTTCATTTGGAAAAGGTAAAACTTCAAAATGGTATTTTATTTTTGACTTTTACTCTTTGTTTTCACCTATATATTATTGCGTTTATTAATTTAACTTTTTTCTGTAAAGCTCACCTAACATTCTTTTCTCTAAAACTTGTATTTTTCAGTTACCATACTTCTTGCTCACTGAAAAACCAAAATCTTTTTCAAGAGAAAAGGTGGGATAAGGGAAAGGAATTTGACTTATGCCCAAGCTGGCAGGTTTCCCTGAACTTGAAGGCATACCATTGGGGTAGTGCCATTTCACCATTCCTTTTCGGTTCGGCATTAAATCCTAGCAAATGTGGTATGTTTTGAGGAAGTCTGTAAACTCCAATGTAACATTTTGTGCAGAGTAATCAGGAATTAGTCAAGTTCTTTCAGTATTTTTTATTCCTGAGGCTGAGGATAACTAGAGACTACAAGTAAGTGAACAACAAATGGTGCTCTCTCCCAACACTGTCTGGCCCATTTCTGAGGTGTCAGTGACACACTTGGCAGATGGCTGACCCTCTACATGGTAGTGAGAAGGACTGAGCTCATCAGCTTCTCCAATTTCCTAAAAAGTAAAATGCTGTTTTAAAGAAGCATTCCAACTTTTTAAATAATGAATCACTAAATGACTGTCCGAATCAGTCTTTTCATGTTCTATCCCCGCATGAGTAAGTGTCATCACAGTTTACAACTGTTGAGTGAGTTGAAAATGTGAGCAACTGCTGGGTTCAGCTAAAAACGAAACATGTAGACTATATCTGGAAAAAGTCATGCTGTGCTCATCAATTTAGACTTGTGTATCTTAAGGAAGTTAATCTACTTCGGAGGTATGACAAACTATTTTGTTTTACTTAACATTTACACATAAATTATTATTTTTAATCTTTTGTTTATTTGGTACAGGATCTTGCTACACAGCTCAGATTCATAGTGATCCTCCTGCCTCAGCCTCCCCAGTGCTGAGATTAGAGGAATGCAATATCATGCCCAGTTTCAGTGGCCAACACGGACTGGGGCTGTCACAGCATGCAGTACTGGGGATTGAACTCGGGTCCTTGTACTTGCCAGGCAGGTGCTTAGACTGCTGAGTTATCTTTCCAGCCTTACATAAATTATTTTAAAAACTATTAATAATTATTAGTGCATATTAATTATGCAAAATAATGGGTTTCATTATGATGTTGCTATTCATGCATAAAACATGCTTTGATTGTATCTACCCTCCCTAAAACTCTCTCATAGCCTCATCTTCCTGTCCTGGGCCCCTTCTCCTTCTTTAGTAGTCTCTGTTCTACTTATGTGTCACATTTTTCCTGAAAATTCTACTTACATGAGAAAACATGTAGTACATGCTACAGGTCAAGTCATGCCTTCGTTCATAACCTCAAAGATATTACAACCTAATGCTGGATTTTAAACTATAAACATTAAGACTTTTCAAGCAGAGGGAAACAGGCAATGTGAAAATTTTCTTTATATTTTTAGGAGAAAAACTTCACCATTTCTGTCTTAGAAATTAGCTAGGGCCAGGGAGATAGCTCTGCGGCATAAGTACCTGCCTGACAAGCTCAAGGTCCTGAGTTAAAATAAAAATAAATGTTAGCTTAAGCTGTTTGAAGTACGTTGTCAGTCATGGCATGCGTCCCAAGCCGACAACTCTGAGACTGCCTCATCTTCCCAGTGGGAAATGTTGCTTTATTTATTTTTTTCCCATAATTTTATTGATAAACAAATAGCAATGAGACAGTTTCAAATTAAATTGGTAGGACAGTTTCAATAATTCACACATTGCATACATTCTTCCTAGTGGTTAATTGCTGTACAAGATGCAGACATGATATCCTATTTACAAACACCACTAGAACAAATCCCTCTATTCATTAAGAGAATGTAACTATATATCTATCCTAATCATTTTGAATACACAGATACAAAATGGACATTCATCTGTATCCCCTTTTTTTGTTCAGTTCTGTTATTTGAATATTGTAGGTGTGTAAACTCAGTAATATATTCTAAAAGAGTCCAGTAGCCCGTAATAGTATTGGGTCTTCCACTTCACTGGCAATATCAGAAATTGTTGACCTGAGTCCCCTACAGCTCAACATAACACCATGGCTTTACTTCTTATACTTCGTTTTTATACTTTTCTGCTGGATGGTTAAGACCAAGGTAAAGCAGGACCTATGCAATAAGAGTTGTAGCTTTTGGGTCTGATAAGGTCAATGAAATCCCCTCAGGATTTATCCTGAGATCCTGTACCTCAGATTGTAGAACCTTCATCAGTGTTGAAATGTTGCTTTAGTCAGTAGTGGTTTTTGTTTTTGTGGTGCTAGGGGACTGGACCTCATGCATGCTAGGAAAGTGCTCTACCCCTGAGCTACACTGTCAGTCTATTTCTTAGTTACCCTGCTGCTCTAATTATGGAAATAGTAATTATTCAAGAGACAGAACTGATACATATGAAAGGGAGAGTGAGAACAACTACGGAGGGGTTCAGCAAAATGCATGAGTCAATGTATGACTTAAATAGTTCCACAGCACTCTACAACCCTGAACTTGGGACAGTCCACCTTCTTCCTTCACAGCGCTGCAGAACAGATAGACCTCTATTCCAGCAGCTGCAGGCAGTCAGTAAAAGTGGGCTGGCTGCCTGTGCTCCAGGAATCACCTGTGAGGAGTTGTCAATGATACTGTCCACCTTAGGTTGCTGCTGAGGAGAGAAAGTCTCTGGGTTTGACCAATTGTTATATACAATAATTGTTAGGCAGTGAAGACTGCAACATTGCCCCTAAAAGCTTCTAATCATGGTGATGTTTTATTTTAAAAATTAAAGCAACACATTTCACCTACTTAGAGGAACATTTGTTTCCCTTCTGTTGCAGCTCCAAGGGTAGTACTTCACCTGGGCTCTCTGCAGTGCAAACTCCTATAAGTTTCGATCAAGGCCCAAGTTCACTGTTGAACAAGAAACCTGGAGGCATTAGCCAAATATGCACAGGAACCAAGTGCTCGATCACTTGGTATTTGATATCATGGCCCAGTTGATGTCGTTTCCATAAGGCTTCTCTGTCATCTCTGGAAAAGCTGAGCAGAGCTGCTTCTTGAACTACCTGTTTGCACTTCAGGTGGCTCAGGTTCATACTGGTCACTTTTATGTGGAGATTGCTTTATAACCTCAAATACTCCAGCTTTGACTTTTGGGAAGGGGGCAGTGAAAGGATACTATAGTATGAAGTGCTTTCTTTGTATTCCATTCTTCATCATTTTGTAATTATAAAAATTTTCACATGTATAACCTCAATTTTACTGGTCTACTTTTTGCTTACTATTATATGTGTTTTTAATCCACCAAACACAGATTCAATGATAGATACTTTTTATGCTATTGGGCTTGTCATGCGACTCTGCCAATTCATTTCTCTCTTGGAGTTGCTGCACATATATGTTGGTATCGGATCAAATCATCTTTTTCCGAGATTTTTGCAGGTAGGTTTTAATCATTTTATTATTACTAATGTTACTATTTAGGATCTTTAATTTTTAACTGTTCTATTTATAGACTCTCTTGGTTCTTGTTACATGGAAGAATGACCTTATTCCCAAATGCTGCCCAGTGAGAACAGCTAGGATCGTTTGATGCTGTGATGCTTCTGACCTGTGTACTGCAGTTATGTTATCCTCTGAGGCTATTTCTTGGCTGCTTCTATCCTGGATATGGCACTGACAATGAAAAGCCAGAGAACTGAAGCCATTCAGAGTTAATTTGATGCCCTTGTCCTCCAGGAACTGCTCCAGGATTATGCAACTCATAACCACTGGGCTCTTGCCTTGAAGAAATCCAGTATACCATACATGGTAGAGTTGACGATTAAAACACAAACAATCCAAAAGTTTCCTTTATTGCTGTTCAAAAAATAGCACATTCCCTAGCCATGTTTAGTCATTCCGTGAGTTCTGACTGCATACAAATGGAAAGGGAAGAATCATTATCTAGCAGACCATCCAGACTTGACAGTCATAAGCCCAGACCCGAACTGCAGCTTTTCCTTTCTGGTTGTATAAATTTAAACAAAGCATTCAGTCATCTGAACCTTATTTTCCCATGTGATGTGAGAATAATATGTATGTTATAGGGTAGTTGAGAAACCCGGGAGGAGAGCTGCTGGTACCTAGTTAGCGCGCACCATGTACTACCACCCCTCTGGCCGCTATTTCCTTTACTCCCTCTAGCTCTAGACGGAGGTGTTCCTTTTAAAGGCAGGCTTAAAAAACTTGGAAATTTACTTGCAAAGCCTCAATGTAGGAAATCATTGCTGAATTACGGAAATACACACAAAATATTTTCTACAAGCAAGAGAAAATAGTTAAAATACCATGAAAGCTTAAAAAATATAGATAGCAGTATAATTCCAAGGGGAATTAGAAAAAGCATTATTAAAGAAAAGAAATTAAGGAACTTAGCATTATTAATATTAAAATATTTGTAGGGTATTTTAAAATTTACTTATTAAATAAAAGTAGAGGACAAGCCCCGCCCCCAGGGCGCACTGAGACAGCGATTAAGACTGGGTGTGGTGGCGCACACCTGTAATCCCAGCGCTTAGGAGTCTGAAAGCAGGAGGGTCACTATGAGTCTGATCTATGTAGTGAGGCCCTGTTACTAAATACACAAAAAAATAAAAAAAGAAGCAGAATAGCATCAACTGGGACAAAAGTGTCTTAAATATATAAATATCAAGTGTAAAATAAGACTCTGAGCAATAGTGTATAACAGTAATGCTATAATATAGTTAATGTAACATCGTAGTAGTCTAACCAAGATGTAAAAGGAAGCTCCTACAACAGATTTCCTCACAGAATAAAAATACAGAACTGTCCCAGAAGTTGCATATAATTAGGAAATAAGATTTATTGATATTTATGATTTACTGACCATCTGCTGTACTCTGAAAAAAATGAAAGTGCATATAACACTAGTATCCCTAATTTTCAAGAACAGTTAACCCTGGTTAAATGAAACCTGTATTCTGTCACATACAATTATTTCACTTGGAATATGGTCAAATTTATCTAAAATCTGTCAGGATTCTTTTACTATACTTTTAAAGACTTTTTACTTTTATTTAAGATTAATTGGCTAATGCTATTTCATGGTAAAATCACATTTTCAAGTTTATATTGACACTCTTTTGTGTATTTAGGACAGGGTCTACAGAGTCACTATGCAGATCAGACTCAGTGATTCTCCTGTTTTCAGCCTTCCAAGTGCTGGGATTACAGGCTTGCACCACCATGCCCAGGGGTGGGGCCAGCACAGCTGTTTGGGGGATTGAACCCTGGCTGCTGCTCTCTGCCTAAGCAGGCGCTATAGTCCGCTGAGCTATCTGGCTGGCCCTATATTGACACTTTTTATTGAGCCTGCAAAATCTTACTTGGAGTGCAATTGATTTTTAGTCTTTATTCCTTGGGAAGGTTAATAAGTCAAGAATCACATCTGAAGAGCAGTTGTCATTTTTATTGTGGTTATTAGGGTTTTTTTTGTGGTTTTGCTTCCTCTTTTTAATCTCTTTTATATGAGCACTTACTGCTATTCTTTTTTAAATGCACTTACCATTTTTTTTTTTTTTTTTTTTTGTGGAACCAGGGATTGAACTCAGGCCCTTGCGCTTGCCAGGGAAGTGCTTATTCCACTGAGCCATCTCCCCGGCCCTGCACTTACCATTTTCATGGTTCTTAGAATGGAAGTGGTGTTGAAAAGGATTCAAAAAATACATATGTCCAAAGTTTCATTTTCTGTCCCCTTCGTTTTTTAGAATTTTACAGGCAATTACAATTCCCTCATTATGAGATGACTCTGAGCCCTCTGCTTTAAAATAACAAAACAAAACTCTCAGGTTGTGTAACCATTGTTGGGTTTCCTGTTTCCACATTTTCAAGTGAAGAAACTATAGCTAGTGCAGCTGAGTTACTCCCATGGTAATCACAGCTGACTACACATACAGCAACTTGCCAGATGTCTGCTGGCCAACAGCTTCAAGGAGCACAAAACCATGCCCGCACAAGTGTGGTGTTTTCCTCATACCTTCAAGACACAACCGAGTTGCCATTTTGGGAACTGGCTTTCCAAAATACCAAGATAAATAATTCCAGCTAGCAGTAGGAATGGATTAGCTAGTTTTAATATCACATGTATCAAGTGGTATGTAAATAGGGGTAAGTTTGTGTCCTGTGCTTTTTTAATTGTTTAATAGTCCCATCTGTTTTGACACCAACGGAAAAAGCCATAAATTTTTAAAATTACAATTGCTAAAGCAAAAAGCCCACTGACTATGAGACAGTGATCATTTAACTCAGGTATATATTTTAATTTGCATATACTAGAGGAGTGGTGGCAAGCCTGTTAGAGCTTTCAGGGACACAGCCTGTTGCAGCATGCATTGTAGCTTTGCCACTTCTGCACTGGGGGACAGGGCACACCATAAGACTAAGAGTTACAGACTTCTGTGTTTGAAAAAAAATGCTACATGCCAATTAAAGTTATGGGGAATACAGTAAACTTTTGAAATTTTAAATTTTTAAGTGAAAAGTGACCAGAAGGTCTCAAAGAATCATTCATATTCAGAATGTTAGATGGATATACTATGAAGAAATCCTCAGAGTAATAGTTTTTTTTCTGTTTTTCAGAAGTGCTTTAAATGCAGACTTAAAATATATCTGTAATTAAACTTTAGTTCTATGTTCTTCACTCTGTATCACTGCTTTACATGGCTTACTTAATTTTACATGTTCACAAAACTATAAATTTAAACAGTAGGAATTATTACTCTTAAATTAACTGCTCAAACTTTTTTTTGTGTGTGTGGTACTTGGGCTTGAACTCAGGGCCTTGTGCATGCTGAGAAAGCACTCCACCACTGAGCTGTAGCCCAGGCCTCGTTATAGTTTTATATTTTTTGATATCCTCCTACTTCTGATAAGGGCAAATGGGAATCCACCAAAAGTCACTCCAAAGATTCAGTCACAAACTCTAAAAGAGAACAAATTTGAAGGAATTTTCAAAGGGTGTCTTACACCCTTTTAAGAAAATTCAATTTCCATTTAACTATGAAGAAAATGCTTATTTGCATTGCTAGACACTAAATAATGCTCTGAACGTCCCAAAAAATCATACAGATTTTTCTGGTTTTGCTTTGATAAGTCTTTATTGTTAGAGAAAAAAATTGCTGAAGATGGTATTGAATAGTAAAGTTCCTCAAATTTTGAAGCTTCTTGAAATGAATTACACATACAGCTCACTCTTTGCCTTTAACTCATGGAGCTTACAGGTTAATTTTACAAATGTTAAAATTGAGTTTGACTTTTATTATCTGGTAGTCCTTATTATCTGTTCAAAATAGTCTTCCTGTAAATATAAATATAATAGTATATTATATATTTTCTTACTATCTTACATTTGATTAAGGCTGTGTGCCAAGAGCCACCTATACAAATAAAGGTATATATTAGAATGGACAGTTCTCTCTATTGTAAATATATATTACAATGTTATTTAAATGCTTTTGTCTTGTAGAGAAGAATAGCTGGTGGTTTTGCATATGTAAAGATGTATCTCAGAAGTTATCAAACTAAGTCTTTGAATTAAAACTATTTAGAGCCAGCCAGATAGCTCAGCGGGCTAAAGTGCCTGCTTAAGCGAGTGCAGCAGCAGGGTTGGATGCCCAGCGTGCCGTGCCGGCCCCGCTCCAGGGTGTGCTGAGACGGTGACTGAGGCTGGGCGTGGTGGTGCGCACCTGTAATCCCAGCTCTTGGGGGGCTGAAAACAGGAGAGTCACTAGGAGTCCAGTCTATGCAGTGAGACCCTGTAGACCCTGTATGAAAATACAGAAAAAATAAAAAAATTAAAAAACATATTATTTGTAAGATTCTAGAAAGTCTCCCTAAAGTTGAAGTATCATTTTACTTTTTCAATATCCTATAGAAGCTGCCTTCCATTTATAAATTAATCTTAAGTTTAGGACTCCCAAATAGAACATAAAAATGCAAAATATTCTTTTATAGTTACTTTTTTTTTTTTTTTTTTCAGAACCGGGGAATGAACTCAGACCCTTGTGCTTGCCAGGGAAGCGCTTATTGTACTGAGCCATTTCCCCGGCTCCCAGGTTACCATAGTTTCAAGTGTACCACTGTATTTAGTTTGGCCAAAGTTACGGGATTTTTACTATGCCATTTATTCTCCTTATGACTTGCAACCTTAGGAGCATCTTCATTAGTGTGGTCATATTTTTAAAAATGATAAAGTGATTAGTTTTCCCAAGTGTAAAGCTCTAAATAACTAATCTAGTTATAATATCAATAAAATTAACATTTAAAATATCCTTTCCTCAAAATTCTTTTGGTGTTGGAGGCTGTTGTTGGAAAGTCTAATTTTTCAGAAGCTCTTTTAAAGAATAGACTGTCGCCTGCCTACATAGTAGGTTTTGGAGTAGACCATAAGGCAATAAAGGTGGAAAAGTTGTGTTTTAGACAGGGGATTAAAAACAACATCAACTGGATTTTGATACTGAGCTGTAGAAAAATCACTTTCACTTAGTAAAATGTACATCTTTTGTGAAAGGCAGATGAATCACAACAGTGTCTAATTCTTAGGGTCTTTGTGGAGAATAAATGAAATGTAGGTAGAACTTGGGAAGAAGTAGACAATAAATACTTCTATCCACTTAAGAGAATCTCCTAAATTGTCTCATTTTATTTTTTGTCTTTTTTGGTCTCATTTTATTGACATTCACTGTGGACACTAAGTTAAATAATTATCAGATAGTTTATTAATTAGTCTGACAATATATGTTTTTTTTTTTTTGTTTTGCTTTGTTTTTTTGGTTTTTTGTTTTTTGTTTTTTTTTGTTTTTTTTGGCAGAACCAGGGATTGAACTCAGGCCCTTGCACTTGCCAGGCAAGCACTTATTCTACTGAGTCATCTCCCTGGCCCCGTGACATTGTATATGAAGGGGAGGTTTCACACATCCATGTGTATGTCCATGTGTTGAGATTTGGGGGATTATAAATTGCTGATTTGTATGCAACTGAAAATCCTTCACTAATGTCCACAGACCCTGGTTATGTCTTTCAATACATTGAGTTTTATTGTGTAGCTGTAGTGTCCCTTTTGGGCAATTTTCCCTTTTGTCCTTCTCAACTAAAGAGCTGTGTGACATGATGGGTACCTCACACTCTGGAGGCCAAGAGACTTAGGGTACTGTGTATTTCCCGGTCTGCCACTTATTTAGGCATAGAACTGAAGTTCTGTGCTTCTCTAAATCTTTATTTATAAAAAGATGCAGAATATTTTATTTGGAGGGGATTCTACCTATTATTAGTAACAGCTAAGGTTTTTCAGTAAGGAGCGTAATTAGAAATGTATGCATGTGCATGTGTTCATGTGTATCTCTTTGAGATTTTTAGCAACCCCCCATGCTTTCCTAATTACCAGGCATTGATAAAATGTGGGATCAGACAGTAACTAAGTGCTGCTTGGCTGCCTAGAGCTTGCATTTTTAAAGGCTTTTAGGTGTCATGACAGTGAAGTTGCTCATTCAAGAATTATACTTGCAGTTCTGTAGAATTCATTACATAAATTATTAAATTAAATCAATAAACTAGGGTATTACATTAAAAGGCTGAGCAAAGAAAAACTGCAATGCAGATGGCTTCTATCAGTTGACTAAGGTTTGAATCACACCAAGTTCCCCTTAGCTAGGCAAGGGTCTTCTTGACTCACCTCTGTGGTTATAAACATGCTGATAAAGCTTGTACACGTGAGCTGCTGATCATGCGGCCCTCTGTTGGCAAATCTTGGGTTTTCCTAAACAAACAGCCTATGATTTTGACATAGATAGTCCTAGTGTTTTTATTCCTTAATCAGCTTTTAAAATAAAGACAGCTACTAAAAAATATAAAGCAATACTTTTATATTTTCCTTTAATCTCAAATATATTTTCTTTTGTCCATTGAGAGCAAAGTAAAATGTCCTATAAAACATGCAAAAATGTAGAATGTACAGGGCATTAATATAACATGAGATTTATATTTACAGTGGGGGAGACAGGACTCTATTTTCTTGAGCCTAGTAATTGGAGGTGCACCACAAATGTGTGAATTCTCAGTGATTTGTAAATGCTTACTGACTTAGAATATGTAATATACATTCTAAGAATATTACATTTTTTTTTTCTACTAGATTGAGATATTACATCCCCAACAAAAAAATAACCTACAATGGCTTCTCTATTTCATGAAATCTAAATTTCTCAGCCTGTCATTCAAAACCCTTCACAGCTCACCCCAATACGCTTTCCATTCATCTCTTTTCTTCCTTTCTCTGCCTGCCCACCTCCCAAGTTTTCCTGCATTGTCAGACATCTCCCTCTGCTTCTGCCACACCCTTTACCAAGGACAGCCTTTCTCACACCCCAACTACAAACTCCTGTTTTTCAGGATCCAACTAACACAATGCCTTCTTTGCCCAGGCAGCAAGTCCAGCGCATACCTCAAGTCCCATATGTACACATCCTGTGCTACAATTACTTTCTGCCAAGCCACCCTCTGGAGTAAGGAACACGTTTTCATTGTAGAATCTAGTATAGTGAAAACTGAATAAAAGTTTGCCAAAGTTAAGAGGAACATATGTGCATGAAGAAAGGAAATACCCTAATTCAGATAAAGTATGTTTTCATTCATTATATGTACTTTGGAAGGTACAAAAAAACAGAAAGGAAGTAAAATTTATCCAGAACCCAGCTCCCTCAGAGACAGTCATTGGTAATTAATAATTTAGTATACGTATTTCCAGCTAAAGCATACTTTTAAAAGAAGCTCTGGTTTTAAAATTTAGAAAATTACTTATATGGCCTAACAGATGATCCTAATTCTTGACTTTGCTGTTTCCTTGTTAGCTCACAGAGAGAATGATCATCCTCTTTGTGGTGATTACCAGTCAAGAGGAAATCCAAGAAAAATATGTGGTGTGTGTTTTATTCATCTTTTGGAATCTACTGGATATAGTTAGGTAAGAAAGCAAACTAATTTCTTAAAAGGAAGCCAAACTGTTTTCTACACTGAAACCAGTAATAGCACCTTATATTTGGTTACTTTGAGACAGAAAAACAACTTCTTTTCAGATTATTTTTTCTTGATATGGAAATGTTTCTTAGTGCTTTCCAGGATGGGCATGCCAAAGATAATGAAAACCTATCATGGCATTACAGGAGCAAATGAGTGCCTTCAGGCTTTCAGCACAAGGCTCGGCATAACACCAACGTGAAGTAAGCTGCACAGTGTGCTGTGGAAAGGCACTTCTTAAGGTGGCTCTAATGCATACTGCTTTAATAAGCAAAGCAGGATTTTTATTATGTCACTGTTAGAACTTACTCCTTTATTTCAGTAACTTCAAGAATATTTAGATAGAGGACCACCCCATCTCTGTGGAACAAATATGCATCTATTTTTGTACTGAATTTCCGTGGGTCTAAAAAACTGACTCTGTGAAATCCCATGAATTCTGGCTCTAGTCTTTAGTTTCCTCCTAATTCTAAGTCTCTGCAATGAGAGGTCCTCTCTTCAAGCAGGGAAACGGTCACCTTGCTTGTAACTCTCTTGGTAGTGTCGTAATTTGTACTTCAGCTCCCACAAATGACTTCTGTCACTCCCACATGAAATTGCTGTATATGAATAGGTCAGAAAAAAGCCCAAGATTTTGCCAGGCGTGGTGGTGCGCACCTGTAATCTCAGTACTTGCGAGGTTGAGGCAAGAGGATTAGCCATGAGCTCGAGGCCAGCCTGGGTGACATACGTGAGCTAAAGGCCAGCCTGGACTATAGAGCGAGACCCTGTCTCAAAAAACACCCAACCTCCGCAACCCAAGATTTTTAGCAGAGGTTCTATAACATGCATTACATTAGTAACACCTGGAGTAAAATCTGTCTAAATAAGGGTGGAGTGCTAACAGCAATAGAATAAAATATTTTGCTGGATTAAAATGACTGTGATTCTTTGGATATATCACTTAGTAGATTATTTCTCACTTTTTAGGTAGTTTTGTAGACTAATAGCAAACTTAATGGACTTTTTTGCCTGTGACTTACTATTAATGTGATTTTGGAGATTCACTGGGGACCACCTTCTAATATGTTGGAATATGGGTATGCTAAATTCTTTCAGTTCTGAGTCAGTCTCAGACAGTTCTCAACAGACCCCAAAGGGAAAAAAACAACTTCTGCGTCAAAACTGGTAGCAAGCTATCATAGGATGACTTTTAGATATAGAGGTAAAATATCTCAAGATGAAACCTGTGCATTACTTGCTACATGTTCCAGGCAAAACACTGTCATTTATTCTAACAACCATATTGAGATATAAGTCACATACCATAAAATTTACCTTTTTAAAAGATAAAATTGTGGGCTTTAGTATATTCAAAGAGATTTGCAGGGCTGGCCAGATGGCTCAGCAGACTAAAGAGCCCGGCGTGGGGTGCCGGCCCCATCCCTGGGCACAGGATTGAGACTGGGCATGGTGGTGCGTGCCTGTAATCCCAACACTTGGGAGGCTGCAAACAGGAGAATCATTGAGCCCAATCTACGTAGTGAGACCCTGCAGACCCTGTACCAAATACATTCAAAAAAGGAGATGTGCAACCATCACCACTATCTAATGAGAACAATTTTATTACCCCAAAAAGAAATTCCACCCCCTTCAGCACTCACTTCCCACGCACTGCTGTGAGTGCCCATGTACAAGACATGTTTTCATTTCCCTTACACTAGGGAAAAACTCCTGGGCCTCTGTTTTGAAATTTTATTTTTAAACTCTATAAAATAGGTGCTGAATTATCTTCCTAATCTATCCTAGGACAATTCTTTAATGAATAATGATTTGGCTTTTGAAGATATTTGTGAAAAATCAACTGCTAATATTATAGTTGTGAGACTGATGCTGTCCTCTTATGACCAGGAACAACAGGAAGATGTACATTCGTTCCACTTCTACTCAACATTGTATTGGAAGCTCTAGCTGTGACAATCAGCAACAAAACAGAACACTGTAAGAGGCAAATAGATTGGAAAGGAGTAAAACTATCTTTATTGGAAGATGATACGCCAAGTACCTAAAAAACATAGGGACATGCAAGTTTATAGAATAAATGATCAATACAAAACCAGTTCTATCTTAAAATAGAATTAAAAAATTTCTCTTTATAATAACATCAAAGAGAATAAAGTAGTACTTAGAAACAAATTTAACAAATGTGAAGAAGTAATACAAGGAAAAGTACTCCCAAAGTGGTGTGGAGCATCAATGCAGTTCCTACTACAGTTCCAGCTGGTAGCTCTGCAGAAGCTAAGGACTGATCTTCAGTTCATTTGTACACACGTGGAAGCAGGCATGGCCAAAGCAGTCTCGGAAGAGAGTGTAGTTGGAGGACTCATACTTCCCAATTTTAAAACTGACTATGAAGTATCACTAACGAGTGTGGTGCTAGCATATAGAACAACATGGACTAAAACTGACGGTCTCGAGATAAGCGCTCACAGCTTTGGTCAATTAAATTTTGACAGAGGTGCACTCAGTGGGGAAAGAATATTCTTAATGAGTGACATGAGATCAACTCGATGTCCACATACAATAAAGTCGGATCCTTAACACATGTATGAGGTGGACAGACCTGAGAAGTGCACGATGTGGCATAGCTGGGACTACCACAGTAATTCTTACACAAAAAATTTGATATGACACCAAAAACACAAGCAGCAAAAGAAAAAATATGTACATTGGACTTCATTCAAAATGGGTCTTTGTGCTCGCTTCGGCAGCATATATACAAAATGGGTCTTAAACACGAGAAGATCCCTGTCTACTCTTCAGTTTCTAGTAAGAGAAAAAAGATTGTGAGATGCTACGTTTCATTCAGAATAGTAAAAACTAACAAGCGTGATAACATGCAGTGTTGGTAAGCGCTTAGCCCACTAGTATATGTATACACACATAAATATGCAGACACAAAAATATTACTAAAAGGATGCATAGGAACCTGGAATTGGTCATTTTCTCTAAGCAGACGCTAGGTCCAGAAATTGAAAAGTTGAGTTTTTCTCTAGTCATGTTTTCAAGGTTCTTTTTGGGTTGTTTTCTTGCCATGTATATTTATGCTGATTCGAGTGGTTCTTAAAGTGTGGTCCCTGGATTGACGTCAACTTCACTTGGAACTTGTTAGTAATGCAAATCCTCATGTTCTACCTCAGACATACGTGATTGGGAAGTGTGTGTGTGGGTGCAGCCAGCAACTTGTGCTCTGAGGAGTCAGCCATGGGAGCCATTCTGATGGGCCCACACACTGGTGCCTAAGAGTGTCTGGCCTGTTCTGTTCAAACAGATACCAAGATGTGCACAGTTCTGTCCACCATGTCACACTGGTCAGCGTAAAGCTGTGTACTTCATCCAGAACCAGCCCTCAGAGCCAGCTCTTATGACTGGTCATATAAACTGGGACAATTACAGATATGGAGTTTAGAAATCAGATTTTAATAGTTATTCCTGAAATATTGACAAATACATTTGTCTTTAAAAAAACTGCTTGCTACATAAGACAGGGTTAGCTTTTTCATAAATGGAAGACATTAATCAAAGAAACTTGTAACTGTAACTTGTAACTGTAATGTTTTGTGTGTCTTTTTGAGATAGGGCTTTGCTAATATGCAGTTAGGTTGGCCTCTAACTCGCAGTGATCTGTGTGCCTCAGCCTCCCAAGTGCTGGGATTACAAGCATGTGCCACCACATCTGGCTATAATGTAATTTCTTGTGAGGGGGTACTAGTTACATTTTTGTTATAGTCAACCTTATAATTACCTATGATCCATACTATGAGATAAGTCTTTCCCACCAACATTTTTTAGACCTCTTTTGCTTAAAGGAAAAAAAGTGTATAGTCTGCACATGTCCAGTTTTACCCCTGTACTAAATTATGTAACTAGGTATTTTCTTTTGTTGCCTCCCAGGCATCAGCAGCAAACGGTGCTCACAAGCTCCTTCTTTCCTTTCAGGTACACAGACAGCATGCTCGCTGTCACGGGAACATCCTACGCCAGCCTGACATGGCTCAGCCAAACTCTGTGGATGCCCATCTATCCCCTGTGTGTTCTTGCTGAGGGTAAGAAAAGAGCTCGACTGCTGACTGACCAAGACATGGAGTGGCAATAGTTCACTGGTTTTGATTATTAAAATTGCTATTACTACTCAATGCATCTCTCCTGGCATATTTCCCTTGCTGCAAAAACCAAAGCCTTCAGAGGCAGAGTTGGAGGGAGCAGCTCCTCTGTATAGCAGACAAAACACTGGGTGAGAAACGACACCTGAGTTCAAGCCCTTAACTTTAGTGTCTGTTTGCATTTAGGGTAACTCATTTAACCTGAGCCTCTTACCTGCCAAAAAGGGTTAAGCTTTTAGAAATTCTATGAACTTTTTACTTTTAACGCATAGAATTTCGGTTTAGTTTGGCCCGACTCTCCTTTCCACTTACCACCTGCTTTGAATCTGTCGCTTTCTGAGAAGAATATTCCTTGACCTGTCAGGGTAATTTCCATTGGTGCAGCATCACGAATTTGTCTTCTGTGGGGCCTCTCTTCATTGTACCTGGATATCCATGATGCTCTGACTAGTGCACATTTTCCTGATTATATTTTTAGGACATATGAAAGTGCAGGGGTTGTGTGCGTTTCTTTGCTTCCTTCCTCCCTCTTATGCATTAGTACACATACTCACCTAAATGGATCAGATAATTAAAATCATCAGTTTCAAAGAGCTTGAGGATATACCGAATATAAATTTCTGTACTGGATTTGACAGATTGGTAGGGAGCTTTCTGAAAGTCATGATTAAAGTTTTTGAAAACTGAAGGTATAAAATAATAAAGAAGCAGGGTAAGGTAACTAAAGGAAAACATAAAAATGCCTTTTCTGTCTATTTTTGAGCGAAGAAATTTAGCTTAGTTGTAATAAATAATGTTAGAATTTAATTTTTTTTCAAAAAGAATCTTCGGAAGAGATTGTTAAGAGAATTCAGTGGATAATCTCAAAAACCCATAAAAGCTGACTACCTGTCAGTTTAGGAGGAATTAAGATGTATTATGCACATGTACCAGTTCCCCACAAGGAATGTAGACACTGTGCACCGAACACATGTATGAACAGAATGAAATGCCTTCTCATTGAGACATGAAGTGTATTCCTTTGTTACAGGAAAATACTACAAAAGACATAAGAGAACAGCGGAATATTGGTCAAAGGATATAAAGTTTAAAATAGGAAAAATACATTTTTAAGATTTCACAGGAGGATGGCTGCTGTTAGTAAATGTGTATTTCAAAATAAGCATAAACTTCAAATGTCCCACTGCCCAAAATCACTTAAGTGATAGGTATGTTAGCTGGACTTCACCATTCTGCGCTTGTTTCCATGTTGTGTATTTGGTACAGGGTCTCACTGCACAGCCCGGACTCCTAGTGAGTCTCCTGCCTCCAGGCTCCCCTGCGCTGGGGTCACAGGCATGCGCCACACGCCCAGCACTCGGTGGCTGCTCGGTGCACCCAGGGCTGGGGCTGGTGCAGCATGGTGCTCGGGATCAAACCTGGCCCCTGTGCTTGTATCATTCTGCACTTTAAACATTCATCAGCACATACATTGAGCCCCATAAATGTAGTTATGATTTGTCATTAAAATTAATAAAAGTTTAGAATTAGCACATAAAGAGATATGGTACTAATCCCTTCTTAAAAACAAGGAATTAATGAATGCACAGGAAACCTTTCCATTCTTGTGAATTCTAAGCTGCCCTTTTCTAGGAAAGCCATGTTCTTACATGGTTGCCATACAATCCATATTCTTTTATTAGATTTATAAACTTATAAAAAGTCTAGAAACATATCAACATTTAATAATTCATTCAGTATTATAAAATATGTATGTTCATAATTTTATCTTTATATTTTTATATATTTCAAATGCACTGGAATATAAGATGCAGTTAAGAAAACTGCTTTAATATGTCATTTTCCCATCTGATAAAGAACATATAAATAACAATTATATGATGAAATGCTAGAGGCTTAATGTTAATCTTAGATGGCAGATTCGTGTCACTTGCAGATCCTGTATTATTGCTGCTTGTGCCTGAGCTCTTTTCTTTCATATCTCTTTTTAAAAACGTTTTACTTCGAAATAATTTTAGTTTCATAAGAAACTGCAAAATGGTAGAGAATTGCCCTGTGCTCTTCACCTAACTTACCCTAACTATAATACCTGACATAAGCACAGTACACCATCATCTCATCCCATGGACTGTGAAAATCTGTACACAGGTTGCAATTTCATGGAACTTCCATCTCTATCTGATAGCAGCTTCCTCCTTCAAAATACGTTGATCAGCATTTCTGACAGACTTTCTCAGCATGTTCCTTATGTACTCCTGAGGCTTATGGAGGAAGATGAAATTCTGAGGTCAGTTATGTTGATAAAATGTTGGGTGAGCCAGATATGGTGGAACAAGCTTGCAACACCAGGACTCTGGGAGCCTGAGGCGGAAGATCACAAATTCAAGTCCTGCCTGAGACCATGACTCAGAAAACGAAAAGGTCTGGAAATGTGCGCAGCGTGAAGGCCTTTGTTCAATCCCCAGCACTGCTCCTCAAAAAAAAAAAAAAAAAAAAAAAAAAAAAGGCAATAATGGTTTTTTATTGTAGAATTGCTACTTCATTATTCAGTGTATATTGTACCACTCCAAAGTGAAAATATATGCAACATTTTCCAAATTCATTTGCTTATCACTGCTATTTGTAGCAAGGGTGACAGATGTATTCTGAATAACTTTTAAGAAATATTACGGATGTCCAGATAACTCAGAGGATTAAAGCGCCTGCTTAGGCAGATGTAGGGACTGGACTTTGATCCCTGGCACCACATGCCATGCCAACCCTGCCCCAGGGGCTCACTGAGACAGCAACTGAGGCTGGGTGTGGTGATGCGTGCCTATAATCCCATTGCTTGGGAGACTGAAAACAGAAGGATCACTGTAAGTCTGATCTGTGTAGTGAGACCCTTACTAAATACATTTAAAAAAATTGTTTCATTTTTTCTTTTTTTATTATTAATTTTATTGAGAAAGAAGTAGCAATGAGTTTCAAAACAGGTTTGTGGGACTGCTGCAATAATTAGTACATTGCATATTGTTGTCTTAATACATTTTTTAAAAAAAGAAATATAGTCTTTCCATGAAAGCATAACAAAATATACAATGTAAAAATTTGGTAAGCCAGTCTTGCTGTACAAGCTTTGCCAACTTAATCATACTTCTATTTCTATATCAAACTGCAACTTTAGCTAGACTTCAGCAATCTCAAAAAAGTGTCATTGTCAAAATCAAAATGTACTTCAACTTTGGAGATGTATATACACATCCTCATAATAAGGAAACTTTATTTTTTCTTTAAACAGCACTTGCTGTCTATCAATCACTGCCTTATTTTGAATCATCTGGCACTTATTCCACCAAGCTGCCCTTTGATTTGGCCATCTACTTCCCATATGTGCTGAAGCTATATCTCCTGATGCTCTTTATAGGTAAGGGGCTATTTTATTTTTGCATTCTTCCTGTTCTTTCTGGTTTATGGGGCAATCTACAAATAAACAAGTTGTTTAAACATGGGAGAAAGCAAAGAGGAAGCCTAACACACTGAACTAGATTGCCCAGTTAAAGCATTTAGAAGTTATAATGCTGGTGGGCTGGTGAGATAGCTCAGCAGACTGAGCACCTGCTTAGGCAAGCACAGGGACTGGGGTTCGATCCCCAGCATCACATGCTGTGCTGGCCCTGCCCCCTGGCATGCTGAGCTGGCCACTGATGGAGTCCAGGTATGGTGACACATACCTATAATCCCAGTGCTGGAGATGCTGAAAACAGGAAAATCACTAGGAGCCCAAGCTGTATAGTGAGACCCTGTACCAAATATGTAGAAGAAGAAGAAGAAGAAGAGGAAGAGGAAGCAGAAGTTGTTGTTGAAGTTGTTGTTACAATGTTTTGGGCAAGGCATCACAAAACCAACTGTGTCATGCTTCACTGCACAAACAACAACAGCTTTACTTTTAGAAAATACAACTGCATTATGCTTGAATGTAGAAGTTTTGACTGTAAGCACACATAGCTACAAACAAATTAATGACAAAATGAGCAGGATTGGATATTTCTAATTTTCCCATTTATATCTATTTACTGTTTGGCTTTATATGTTAGTTCTTCCTAGTAAGCAAATGGAAGTAGGGGCTAAAGACTCTAGAAAAATTAAGGGAATAAAAATTTACAGTTGGGTGGGATTGCAAGAAGGCTCAACAGAGGCATCTAGCACTTACCAGCTCCTCAACAATGAAAACCCAAAGCAACAGGTGAATGTCTGCATTGTGAGGTGAGTGGTTATGGAAAACACGAGACAGTAGGAGAGACACTAGAAACTCTTACCATTCAGACTTGGAACTACAGCCAAGTAAGGGTATGAAACGTCCTCGGGCCTGCCGATCTGACTTTACAACAGGGAGGGAGAGTCTACCTGCTGAAAAGTAACAGGGAGCATTCCAGAAGACTCATCAGTGGTCACACTGGCAACCTGGCAGCCAGAAAGTTTCACCCCACTCACAGGCTTACAGCTTAATACCCTCAAATCTGCACAGTAGCCCTTTTTTGAAAAAGATTTCAGATAATCCCTTGCAAAACAAAAACAAAAAAAACTTCAGGGTGCCATAGCCAGGAGAGATTGTGGTAAGAGACATGTTGCTGAAATCTGGACAGCTGCAGGCATTAGAAACACTTGCTTATTCAATCACTCGGGCTCTGCACTGCACTGGCCAGGAGAGTGGCTAAGACCACTGCACACCCTGCAGGTAGGAGGCAGGTGAACCAAAGGAACATGGAGCACAGCACAGCCCTCAAGGACCAGGAGGCTGGGATGCTTCCCTGTAAGTCTGGGATGAAGGCAGTCACCCATGTGGTTCCTGCCACACCTCCCACTCTACTGTGCCCAGTGCTAACAGGACTGGGGATGAACTCCTGGTCCTATTCCTGTCCTGCAAGAAAGAACATCTGAGCCCGAAGACAGGTCTTTTGACATATTCCATTTAAACTGAAAAAAGAAATGAAGAGAATGCTAAAGAGCTTTGAGATTATTAAATAAATAATAATCATCTGTATCACTGAAACATGTAAGTCCCTGATTTATAACAGGTTCCATTCAGGGAGAACACTTGTAAATCACATATGTTCGTAAGGGCTGGGGAGGGCTCAGTAGAAAAAGTGCTTGCCTGGCAAGCGCAAGGGCCTGAGTTCAATCCCTGGTTCCGCAAAAATAAATACGTAAATAAAAAATAAAAATAAAAATTGTATATATATATATGCGAAACAAAGTCTCACACACCTTTGGCCCAATACACAATGCACAGTCCTTTGTGCCTCCCGGCGTCCCTCCAGATGCCCATGCCCAGACATCCTGGGCCCTGACTGAGCGGTGCACTGCCGTACATTACTGCACTGCACAGTCAGCATGCAGGAGACATGCAAAGCTCCTGCAGGGGTCAACAGTGGTGGTTGTACTGCATATTGTTGTCTTCAGATTAGTTGCTCAGATTACCAGATACAAGCCGCAAAGTTTGTCAAAAAACTATTACAAATTAAAAAGGAAAGAGAAAAGCATTAAAATATCCTTTCAATATATCAGCAGAAATCAGCAGTACAATTATCCAAGCTATCTTGTGTATATACATATATATTTCTTTTTTCCTTTCCCTCATTTCAGGTGTTTCTTCCCTTTTAACAGTTTCTTTTCCTTCCGAAGTTATCTATTGTACCTTTTGGATTTTATTTACTCTTTCAGGTTCTTCATACTAGGGAGACAATATGATGTTTACACATGTGGGTATCATTTATTTCACTTATCAATATGGTCTGTAGTATCCATTTACCTATAACAGCATCAAGTTTATCTTTTTTACAGCTCAGTAATATTCCATTGTACATCTTTTTTTATCCATTCCTCAGTTGATGGGCATTTAGGCTGTTTCCAAGATTTAGCTATGACAAATTGTGCTGCTGCACATGGGTGCATGTATTTCACTGTGGTATGATATTTTAAGTTCTTCCGGAAAAGTACCCTGGAGAGGAATAGATGGTTGAATGGGACTTCTAATCCTAGTTTTTTGAGGACTCTCCTGTACCAGTCTACATTCTCAACAGTGGTGAAGGGTTCCTTTTCCCCCATAAAAAGAATTAAGACTGTTAAAGTCATATCAACTAAACTGATTTACAGATTCAATGCAACACCTATCAAAATTCCATTGACATGCTTTACAGAACTAGAAAAACCAATCCTAAAGTTCATATGAAAGCAAAAAGACACAAGATAACCAAAACAGTATGGCATCAGCATAAAAAAGACATGGAGATGAATAGGACAGCGTACAGAAACCAGAAATGAACCTATGAATCTGCAGCCAACTGATTTTTGACAGTGCCAAAAAAAGATATATTGGAAAAGGATGACACAGGGACGGCCTTGCCAATACATGGTGCTAGTCAAACTGGAAACCCACACCGAAGACTGAAACCTGACTTCTGTTCTCACCTTCCACAGAAATACAGAAATGAACTCAAATGCATAAAAATATAAGTTCTGGGGTGTTTTTTTGTTTTTGTTTTTGTTTTTTTGTTTGGCTGGCTCAGGCTGCCCTAAGTGCAGATCTGGAAAACATAAGTTCCGAAACTGCTACTTAACCTGGGAAAAACAATCCACATACAGTACTGGTGCGGGCACTGACTTTCAAAAGCATAAAACAGAAAAGCAAAACTTGAAAAATGGGATTAGGGTTATATATGCAGTGTATTATTTGTTGAAACTGTACTTTCGATTTGATTTGAAACTGTCTCATTGCTATATGTTTATCAATAAAACTTTGAAAAGAAAAAAAAATTTAAAAAATGGGATTAAACTGAAAAGTTGCATAGCAAAAGAAACTGCAAAAAATCTGCAGAATGAGAGAATGTATTTTCCAGCCATTCATCTAAGAATATCCAAAATATATATATAGAATTTTAAAAATCTGCTTAAAATAGGTAATCCAATTAAAATTAGGCACATGTGCTGAAGAGATCCAAATGGCCGATAAACAGCTGAACAAATGCTCAATAGCACTACCTATCTGGGAACCGCAAAGCAAGACTACAATAAGATACTGTCATACCTGTTAGGATGGCCATTATAGAAAAGCCAGTAACAACAGAAAAGTAAACTCTTATCACTATTGGTGGGAATATAAATTTGCATAGCCACTACTGGGAATAGTGTGGAAATATCTGAGAACAGAACTGCCATATATTCCCACAACTCCACGCCTATACTCCTAAGGGAAATGAAGTAAGCACGCGAGAGGTATACCTGCATGCCGATCTTTAGTGCGGCACTCCTCCCAGTAGGTAAGATACGGAATCGGCCTAGGTGTCTACCAACAGATGAATGGGTGCAGAAAACACAGTGTACATGTGCCCAACAGATTATTATTCAGTAATCAAGAAAAATGAAATCTTGTCACTTGCAGAAGAATGGAAGTGGGGGGCACCATGCTAGGTGAAGTAAGCCAGGCTCAGAAAACTACCATGTATCTCTCATATGTGCAAAGCGACAGTGGATGTGAAAGTAGAACAATGATTCCTAGGGTTTCAGAAGAATCACAGTGGGGTAGGACGGAGCCAGTGAGGGTGGGTGATAGAATCAGGGTACACATGGAGATGACATACTGAACCCTAGTCATATGTGCAATTAATAAGCGAAGATTTTTTTAAAAAGAGTAACACATATACAGAGAACCTTAAAGAGTAAAATTGCTATTTTTTTTTTTTTTTAAATTCAGGAAATTTCCCCAGCTCTAACCTTCACGAATACTCAACATACTTGTCTCTAGAAGGTTATGAGTTAATAGATATAAGAACAACATATATAGAGCAGTGACTAATGTAACATTATAGAGGCAGTGAGAAGAGCTACCCTGAAAAGACAGGACAGTTTGATTTATTTCTCTTTCTGAAAAAAAAAAAAAATCTGGATACATTAAGCATTCCTTATTCAAACTAGCCTTGTATCTTGTCCCTGGAATTCAGGCAGCGCTTTGTTATAAAACCACAGCTCTATCCAAAGACATAGCTAATCAGCTTTTCTAATTTTGCTATTTTTTTTCTCCACCTTAGGTATGTACTTTACCTACAGTCATCTTTACTCAGAAAGAAGGGATGTCCTCGGAGTCTTTTCCATTAAAAAGAAGAAAATGTGAAACACAGAATTCCAATATGGTACAAGAAAAGATGGGATTCAGTGGCAGCAGACAAAGTGACAAGTATTCTTGTGGAAAAATACTCATTGAGTAAAAGCCATGACATTAAATAATTACCAAATTCTAGGTGACAATAGTTTTTTTTCAGGATATACTCTGTACACCTTACTTCATCAAAGTTTTAGATTTTATACAAGTTACATTTATATTGTGTGAAGTCTGGTTATTTTACTGTGTGAAGGTTGATGAGGAATAAGTTCAGTTAAGTTGAGAAAATTTTATTCCCTGAACTACATGTATTCTTCGTCACTTCAGAAACAGCAGATCTACAAGAAGGAAGCACTATACAATAAGGCTCCGCAGGTGTCTGGTATGACACACTTTGTAGAGAAATGTAATTGTCCATGGAGCTAACAAGGGTTTTGCCTAATAGCACAATTACCTTGAAAAGCTCTACCTCCAATTATTATTCTGGGGTGAGGGCAGAGCACATGAATTTTTTTTTGTAAAACAGATTTGTTCTCTAACATTCTTCACCAAATTCATGTCCTTATCACATGCAAAATACACTAATTTTATCCCAATAGACTATTCATTCCTGTATCAACTCAAGTTTCATCATGATATCATCTAAGTCAGGTAGATAAAGCTAGGCATAGTGGTATACACCTGTAATCCCAACACTCAGAATGCTGAAGCAGGAGAGTATGAGGCCAGCTTGGGCTACATAGCTCCTGGCAGCTTGAATTACATCATGAGACCCTGTCTCAAAAAATAAAACACAGGGCCAGTGAGAAAGCTTGGCAGACTAAGCTCCTGCTTAGGCAAGTGCCGGGACTGGGGTTTGATCCCTGGCACCACATGCTGTGCCAACCCCACCCATGGGCACAATGAACCAGCCAGTAAGACTGGGAGTGGTGGCACACACCTGTAATCCCAGTACTGGAGAAAATAAAAACAGGATGATCAATAAGAGTCTGAGCTGCATAGTAAGACCCTGTACCAAATACAATAAGAACAAAAATAAACAAACAAGAAAAACCCCATAAAGTCAGGTAGCTGACATTCAAAGTAGAATTAATCATTAGGCAAAATTATTTTCTGCTATACATCTGTGAAGCCAAGTAAGTTATGTGCTTCCAAAAGGTAGTATGGTAGTAGGACAGGCAAAAGATAGAGATGACCATTTCAAAAGGTAGGCAGAGTGACAGGTCATCTAAGAGGCTTTGTCTCTGGCTTTCCTCCATTTTTTCTTTCCCTCAACAAAATCACCCTCATCAATCCCTAAAAGACAATATTAACTTCTTCCATCATGCATCTTAACACTCTTCCACCTTCTGCCTATTACTTCATTTCAAAGCTGCTTCTACATTTCTACCAATATAGCACCCTACTTCTTGATAGCAACTGCTTTCTTAGTTTTGGCTACTGTAACAAAATCCTATGAAAACTATGCTTAGATAACAGAAATAGGTACCTTACAATTCTGGAGGCTGGGAAGTTCAATGTCAAGGTGTTGTCCTTTTCAGCTCTTGGTAGGGCTCCAAGATAAGAACTGATTTCTTTGTGGTTTGGAGATGGATGTCCTCTTGCTGTATCCCCACATGGTGGAGAAAGAAATCTCTCCCGGGCCTTCTCTCCTAAGGCCACTATTCCTGTTCATGAAGGCTCCACCCCACACCTACTTATTTCTCCCAAGCCCCACCTCAAATACAATTGTGCCAAGAGAAGTAAACTTTCAGCAGTTAACTTCAAACAGATGTTATTAATAACCTTTTCATTGCCATGTACCCATCACATTACAAATAAAACACAAAGTTGTCTGAGGCATTTGCATGGATCTCAACATCTGTTTCAAATGTACACTGTCCAAATCAAGAGTCAGAGTGTTCAGAGATTTCAGAGACAAACCAAGGCTTTAACCCCACACATTAATATTTGTTAGTATATCTATGCATGGTATTTATCTTGGCAACTTGTATTACAAAAACAAGATAACTTTTAAGGAAAATTTCTTTTTGTATATACTTAGGAATATCTAGTATATAAAAAGGAGAGATTTCTGGATTCTGTGGAACAAAGGAAAATATCTCAAGAAAATCATTTCTTACCTTAGATTATGCAGCTAACCAAAGGGGAGGTTCTTTTTTCAGTGACCTATATCTTAGAATGTATAGGTTTTATAATGTCTCGATTCTCAAATTTAGAGTCTGTAGAGGTTCCAATGAATAGGAAACTCCTAGGACTCTTTCTTTTAAGGTGGCCTAAAATGTAGGGGGCTAGGGAAGAGTGGTTAGATTTTGCTTTTTCAGTGAGCTACAACCATGCCATCCCTTCCCTATTTGAAGCAACTTCTTGCTAAGTTGCTAAATTGCCCTGGCTGCGTTTGAACTGGCACTTATGACCACTTTCCTCAGGCTCCCAGGGCACTGAATCATAGACGGGTACCAAGGAGCTATCTTATGTCCTCCCTTTTTTCTCCTCTTGTCAAGGGCAGGAGGAGGGACAGACTTTGAGAAGAAACTGGGCTGAAGTGAACCATCTGAGTTTACAAGTCCAAGCTGGGTCTTCTTCCCTTCACTTGGGCATTAACAATCTCTGACTGCTGAGTCAAGGGTGAAAAAATGTAGCCACTCAGTGCCTACCTCCTCTTCAGTCTTACTCCTTGCTACCACTGTTTGCGAGACCATCCAGGAGCCTAAAGTCTTTCAGCCCATGAACACCTACTTTCAACTTTCTAATTCCAGAAGCCTAGTAATATGAGGCAATGGGATTTTTGTTTTTGTTTTCAAATCTGAGTAATCAAGTCTACATTAAGCATTAAGATCCAAAGAAATAGCCTTGGGATACAAGTGAATAACCATTTTGTATGTGTTTATTCAAAATAGTTAGGATAGATATACAGCTGCATTCTCTTAATTCAATGAAAAGAGAGATTTGTTCTAATAATATTTGTGGAAAGGATATCATGTCTACATCTTGTACAATGAACAACCACTAAGACAAAAACATGCAATGTATTATTGAAACTGTGCTAGTAATCTTTTTTTTTTCTTTTTCTTTTCTTTTCTTTTTTCTTTTTTTTTTTTTTTTGCAGAACCAGGGATTGAACTCAGACACTTGGGCTTGCCAGGGAAGCACTTATTCCACTGAGCCATCTCCCCGGCCCCTAGTAATCGGTTTTGAAACTGTCTCATTGCTATTTGTTTCTCAATAAAATTATTAAAAAACAAAACAAAACAAAACAAAATAGCCTTGGATCTCTCCTTCTAGGAACCCAGATCAAGGCGAAGGTCTTCTATTCATTAGATGTGTTCATTCCATCTTTTTTAAAAAAATTTTATTGAGAAACAAATAGCAATGAGACAGTTGCAAAACTGATTACTAGCACAGTCCAGTAATTAATACATTGCATACTGTTTTCTTCTTAGGTTATTCACAGTAAAAGATGCAGACATGATATCCTGTCCACAAACACTATTAAAACCATTTTTCTATTCATTAAATTAAGAGAAAGTACCTTTATATCTATCCTATTTTGAATATACAGATACAAAATGGTCCTTCATTTGTATCCCCTTTTTTTTGTTTAGTTTGGTCAGAAAAGGGTATTCCATTATCATTTAAATATTGTAGGTGCGTGAATTCAGCAAAATATTCCAATATAGTCCAGTAGTAAGTAAGACTAGTGGGTTTTCCGTAGGACTGGCAGTGTCAGAAGTTGATGACTTGAGCCTTTTACAGCTCAGTATATTAGTATGGCTTTACTTTTTATACTTCATTTTTATACTTTTCTGCTGGATGGTTAAGACCAAGATAAAGCAAGATCTATATAACAAGAAATGTAACTTTTGTATCTGACAAGGACAGTCAAATCTCCTCAGGATTTATCCTGAAACCCTGTACCGCAGTTTGTAGATCCTTTGTGAGTGTCAGCCATGTAGATGAGTCATGGCCACTGCTTGACCAATTTGCTCTCTGTGAAAGCCTGATAGAATGTTTTTCTCCATGTGACTCTTCTTAGGCACATTGTACATTGTACATCATAGATCACTTTCCTCTGTGGCCCCATAATCTCTTTGATCAGAAAATTTGGGACACAACTGAGTTACATGATGTTATAGTTATGTCCTGAGTCCTCACTGGCCTTGAAAGGTTAGGGTCAAAATGTTGGCTGGCCTTATAGTCTTTCTTTTTCTCTAATTTTTGTTCTGCAAACTTAAGTTGTTAATTCTCCAGAAGAGAAGCTTATTATTACCCTACAACATAGGCAGTTGAGCTTAACCTCACTATCTGTCTGAATATCCAACATCTTAGACATAACATGGGACAGGTATTTTCCATCAAGTATTGATATGTTAAATTTTAAGTCCCTACAGAATATGAAGAAAAAAATTAAAAATAAAAAATATTTTTAAAAATAGGAATAAACAATTACATATTTTTACACAGAAATGTAGAAATCTAACCATATACAGCACTGTAGCAGGACAGTCCTATTACTTTTGTCTCTTGTTTTCATTTATTACCCTTTTTTAAAAAAACAAACATTTACTTGAGAGACAGTATGGCAATAAATGTCATGACAAGAGTACATAGTCAGAAGACCAGAATGACAGGCATTCCAAGCATGACCATTGTATTACACATTGCTATCTTCAGTGCAATTGCTTAGTTCACAGGTATCAGCATATATAGTCAGTCAGGGTGAGAATCCTACCAATTAACTGCTAGTTTCAAAAATCTGCTGAGGATTCTCAGGATCATAGCCTTGCCCATCTTGTGCATATAAATGTATGGCTTTGCCCCATTACGTTTCCTAGCTATTCTCCTTGCCCTCTCTTCATTGTCTACTCCTCAAGTTCTCACTTTCCTTTTAATTGTGTTCTTCTTTTCTATTTTTATTTCTTCTTTTGAGTTCTTATACTAGGGAGACTATATGATATAGTCCTTTTTTTTCTTTTTTTGAGGTACCAGGGATTGAACTCAGGAACCTGTACTTGCCAGGCAAGAGCTTATTCTACTGAGCTATCTCCCCGGCCCATGATATATACACACGTGGGTCTGGTTTATTTTGCTTATATTTTCCAGTGGCATCCACTTAAATATAAAGGCTTCAAGTTTATCATTCTTTGTAGCTGAGCAATACTCCGTTGTATAAAAATACCACATCTTTTTCATCCATTCCTTAGGTGATGGGCATCTTGGTTGTTTCCAAGATTTGGCTATCACACATTGTGCTGCTATAAACATAGGTATAAACATAGGTATTATATCACTATGATATGACATTTTCAGTTCCTCCAGGAAAATTCCCAGTAGGGCGATAGCTGCCTTGAATGGGATTTCCAGTCCTAGTTTCTTAAGGAGTCTCCACACTGATTTCCATAATGGTTGCACCAGTCTGCAT